TATATATTAGTACATAGCATTTTAGATATCGGCTGCAAGTTTTGTTCCGCTTTGTTTAATAGATACTTATACATGCAGCGCTTCTCACGGCAACATAACAAGAATGTCTTCGCGAACAAAGAGATTTTGTACAAAAATTTTCAACTAATATACGTACTTTTTACTGGGTTTTAATTCAGAGATAGAACAAATGGGATAAAAAAATGATAATTTATTAAATATTAGCATTTATTAAATTTTGTAGCTTTTGTAAATTTTCTAATTAAAATCGTAATCTTCGTTCATTATTTTCGTCCGAAATAAAATGCATGGTTCATACTGATTAGTTACATAGTTATAACTTTTCGCTTGCTCAGAAAATTCCTAAAAAAATGTCATAAGAGCCAATAGATTTCTGTTAGTACTTCGTATATATCTTACAGTTATCTATAAAATAATGATGATGAGTATTATTTACGGGCGACTAAAAAAATATTTGGTAATCTTGTGGAAACCAGACAGTCCAAAAAAATAGTTTATGCACGCACATAATGGGCTTGCGCAAGATGGTAATTCTTTAACTACAAATTAAACGATATATCGTGCCCATCAGCTGACAAAAACTTCACGCAATTAAACACAAATAATTAAAAAGATATCCTAACGAGAGCTGTATACGATGATGCGGCCAGTAAGATGCAAAGGCCTAAATCACCATCAACACAAATGTATTACCATTCAACCAGAAGTCACTCAGATGACTTCAAACTTATCCTGGCAGTGGGGCTCACCCAGCAACTGAGTGGGTCAGCCGGGGAGGACCTAGGCTAGCACCCACGACTGTAAAAAAAAATCCGTCTGAAATCCGATCATGCAACAAAAACTCTATTTATTCGATTCATACGCCGTCAAGTTGATGTAGGCCCGATGTTGGGGTTTCAACAAACATATTAACATACACACATATACAGATATGCATTGATAATACGTATCCAAACAAAACCTGAAATTATTCAATGGGGTTGTTTTTTTTCTAAGTGAGCTTACCATTTCCTCATATCTACTGGCTATAATCTACGGGATTGCATCACATTTCGTTTCGTTATTATACTGAATAACAGCACCACATACTGTGTTTTATGCAGGGTTCCTTCCGTCCAGAAATAGAATACACCTTCCTACCACAACGACAATAACAGCCAACTATACAAGTAGCAACAGCCTCAACTGAGTTGCCCACTGGCGACTGGCAAAGCTTTCTAATCGATAATGTTCATGTTTCCACGATACTGATCCGTAAAACGTGCCCAACATGTATCTAAGGGGAGCCGCAGGGAGCTACAGGCTATTTAAATGCCCTGCATCACCCCTAATTTCGTCCAGCTGATTGGAAACTGACTTCTACGTACCTGGGCGGAGAGGACGACTGGGAAGGCTTCGAAGTGACGACTAGGATTTAGTGATCGTCACGAGCCATTCGGGAGGGCAATCCACTTATTCATAGATCTCATATTTCGCGTACAAGACAAAACACCAGTGGATGGGCCACTGACGACGACTGACTATCGCTATTGCTGTTGTGCTACGAAAGCTACGACGACACCCGCAGCAGTAGTTGCTTGCTGCTGTTGTTGATCGCGTATGACCAATCTCAGCAGGCCTCCAACACTGGCAGTTACCGACTAGTCTCGCTGGTCGCTGCGACACGGCGCTTATTTATCGTAGCCACTCGTTCTCTGCAACCACTAAAGAAAGACGAAGTGGCGGCGGCAGCAGCGGTACAGAGAGAGAGAGAGGGAGACTAATAGAAATGCCACCGAAAAAGAAGCAAAACCACGGCCAGCATATAACTAGACAGGGGGCAGCAATTTGAAGTTGGCCAATACTAACAGAATACGATGTTCTCGCTCGTCAGCTGTTTCACGATATGCGTTCGAACGGCGGCGGATTTTGAATTACGGAAAAAAAATGGCTTTAATAATCAGGCTACGTTGCAGAATATAGCAGACGTTACGTTCTATTCAAATACAAAAATTAGAAATAGTGTATTTAGCAATGTGGAGTGGGCCATCTGAAGCAGACAGGTTATAATCTACTAATGACGAGAAGGATTAGCTGCCTGTGTCGATAATATGGGTCTATTTGCTTTGGTGCGAAATTTGCCTACGCGTATTATTTGTGGTTCACAGCATGTAACTTAGGAACACGAAAGAAAGAATACGGGGGAAGACAAAAACATGAATTGTGTCTGCGTTGAACTTGTTTCTAGATAAGCTAGAAGCGAGAAGAGGATAAGATGCTGCGCTATAATGCATCTAAAACATCCGCCTCGACATATGTCAGTACTGGGTCTAACGCACTATAAACACTAGTGTAAACTTAAAATTTTGGTGTGTATAGTACACGAATTTAGCGTCCATACGAGTAATGCCACTAGTTTCTACGTTGTGAGTCGTTGGAGATTTGAGCTGTGCATTATCACTTTGCGTATACGCGGTTGAAAAAATTTTCCTGTTGGAGATCGAGCTCCCATGTCCCGCGTGACAGCCGGAGATACTGACCACTATACTAACAACGATGACAAGTCTTCGACTTCAAACATCGAACCAACCTTTATGTAAGGACTGCTAAATAAAAACATTGAGTTTACAATCGCTACTACCATTTAGTATTATTCCAGATAAGTACTTCTACTACAACAACTTATCATTGTTGAGCGTTTGAACTAGGTCTTCCCTTGAAAAAGCCATGCACCACAAGTTCAAGCCTCGCGGAACGATGCATCACTGTACTACACTTTTTAAATCAGTCGACGCAGTTTAGAAGCCTTTTATGAAGACGCATTAACATTACGCGTAGTTTGTGTTCTTCGAGCAGGTCGATAGTGCACACAAGCACGCACAAAAATATTTATTATAGATTACAGAGGAACAGGAACGCATTATTATGTCTTGCACATATTTATTGAAAACACTCCAAATGTTTATTGTGGTCGAATCAAGTATGTGGTAATTTGGTTTATTATACCTAGCCTTTTATTATAATAGCGAGGTATTCTAAAAATTAAACCGCTAATTTAAGTGTTCTTCTGAAGTTATGTATTTACAATAAGTAAGAGCAGAATCCCTTTTGTAAGAAATGAGTAAAATCTAGGGCCAAATAAGAAAGAAGTATTTATACATTTTGGCTAAACTTCAAGCCAACGCCATTTAATTAAGATGCGCATAGAAGGCTTTTCATTAAGCACGCTAAAACCTTTGAAAATAATTCTATATGTATATATACATATATATACCTTCAGTGTATGAAGCTTGAGTTGACAGCGACCTTTGAGTTTTACGATATGATTCGTCTTCATTTAAATCATGCCTCATACAGTTATATTATAGACACATCAGAAAAGCACAGTTTCAACCAGGCCCTGCTTGCATGTTCTGGTGTAAACTAAAGGATTTTAAAAACAATGGTGGCGTACATGGAACAGCATGGCCACTCGGACATATAAAAACTGAGCCTATCAGATAGGCCATCAAATTGTTATACAATCTGTACTTACGAGGAAATTTAGTCTGCTTAGGCCGCACTTAAAGGTTGTTCGCAATCTACTGCAGTATAACAGACTCAAAGAAGGTTATGGACTTCGTCCACCAGGGTTTATGAGCGTACCGGGGTACCTACTATCGTTTCTAGTAAGTTACTACACGCAGTTCTTTTTTAAGGTTAAATTATCTTACTTACCTTTTGGTATAGTATATGAACTTGTTTATTCAGTGCCTAAGTCAACATGGTCCTCAAGTATGATTATATTTTAAGTGAGGGAAAATAAATACAACGTTTGTTCTAAAAAAAAAGCTTATCTAAAAGAGTTCATTGCATTTTTTATAACTAGAGTAAATTTAGTCGTAAAATTAAGTATTATAAATTGAACATCACTGATTTTTAGGTCGGAGAATCAATTCTGTTTTATCTAGACACTTCGTGCGAATTATAAACTACCCGCTAAACAAAAAGGACGGGTTTCCGAAGAAAAAAACGGATGTCATATTGTTCTGAGGGCCAACGATATACAAATATTTTTATGTCAAATGTGCAATAAATAAACAACTAATTAACATATAATCTCTCTAAAAATGAATTTTCAACAATTATATATTCCGTTAAACCATTCCACTAAACAGACTTTGCGCGTTTGTTGCAAACAGTTATTACATATCGTTTTTTTAACTTTCTACTCCTTATACCAAACGTATTCTTACACTCGTACACATCGTAAAGATTTACAGATATTTTATAGACAACCATTTACAGATCTTCAAAGCTCTCTAGTCTCTTCCGTTAGTACGGCAGCTTAGCAGTGCCCTGTAAATGTTCGGTATTTTGCTTTCTGTTCTGACTCCTGCAAATTGTAATTTGTCTCGTAGCATGCCTGTCTTTCGATTCTAGAAGTGGAATAAAAATCTGACTAATTTCCATTTTTCTTTTTCTCGATATCTCATACAGAAATGAACTTTAATATACCCCATGCCAACTTAATAACAGTAAAATTTAATATCTATGTTAGGCAATTTAAAAGGTCAGTGTTATTCGCCCTGCGCTCAATATAGTTTCGCAGAGCAAACATCGTATCTGGCGGGACAATATTTGTTCCTTTTGTAAGAGACCACAACTTCACGATGAGCGCTTGACTTGGTCCCGGCACGCTGGCAGCTCCGTGACTTGCCAAGGTATATAGAAGCTCAACCATGAGTGTTGCCTGCCTATTGAACAGTTTCGAGTCACGTAAAAGAGCTAAGTAATCAATGATTTTAGAAAGAATAGTAGATGCTAGCACTTCGACAGCTTCGACATACCTGAAACAATTAGCATTACAAATCAATTTCTGTATTGAAGTACCATCCAACAAGAACTCTAGTGTATCGAACTTCTTATAGAATATAAAAGACCATTTGCAAGATCTAACCTTTGGTCACCGCCGTAAAGTGAGTCGTTGCAGTCAAGCTGTATATCCTCAGCCCACGGTGTGGCCATCCGCGAAAGAACTCGGAGGGTCGCTAGCCAAAGACGGGGCTTTACATCAGTATGTGGATCAAATACATATTCGTCAATGGCCTCAAGTAGGGTCTTCACAAGCGATAAAGGATCTTCGCGAGGATCGTCTGGCGAGTAAACCAGCTGTCCTAAAAGCAGCGTAACACAAGAGTACAGTTCCCGTTCCGGAAGTGTGGACAATGAGTCCAAGGCTGCCTTGTAACAGGCATCGGCGTGTGCGTGACACTGATACTTCAGTGCCACGATTGCTGTCTCAAGGTAAAGCTTGAAGCTGATAATGAACAGTAAACACCCATGTTTAAATAGTGATTATTAGTTTAGCTATAAATATAATTGTTACAGCTAATCATCTTGTTGATGAACAAAATGAACATGCACATCTGGACAGCCATCCAGATACTGAGGGAAAAATTAAGTGATTTTCATGAAAGGTTGTAATGATGAATGTAACTAAGTTATGATCAATTTTTAGGTACACTTGGACCCACATGGAGCGCAATATGTAGCTAAGCAAACTTGCTCGTTTAATCATCCCGAAGATATCCCGAGGAATCTTCGGCATGATCAGAGCCAGCTCTAGTTCTACCTTCACGAGCTTGACAAAATTTTTTTGCATTTCTTGCTAAAATAAAATAGAAGCTAATCCCTCCTCCTTTGTTTAGATAGATTGTGTAGTATGTGTTGCAACAAACGTGCTTCAGGAAGTCCAAATTACACAACGTTGGTGTCAAACTTACCGCATGGTCGAATCGTAAACTGACGGAACAGTCACAATGCAATATGCTAAGCAAGCCTTGGCCTGAGTGGCACTTTTTCGTGAATGACGTCCCCTAATCGTTGCCTGTAGTCGCACGGCTAACCGATTAACCGCGTGTACGAGATGGATTAGAACGTCGTCCAACGTACCCAGGCAGGCACGGGCGTCAATAAAGAACGAAAGCTGTGCTTCAACGTCATCCGGATACTCAATACGATTGATAAAGCCGCATACAAGGCTGGCAAGGCTTCTACGAGAGTCGTCAAGAGTTAACGCGGTGACAGAGGAAAGCATCGTCTTTGACACGTGCATTAACGACGACACCAATACGGCTTCGCAGGTTGACTCCTTTTGGCGACGTGTAAATGTATCAACAAGTGAACGGCAGGCGTCTGTTTTGTACGGTTCCTTTTGTATAAGATCGAGCAAAGGCAGAAGTCGATCCATATTGAACAACGACAATAAGTCCTGTAACCAAATGTAACGATAAAGGCGCTAGACTGATGTATCAATCAATGTCATGACTCATAAAAATGGCTATGGAATGAATTCTAGAACTTCACTGTGACACAGATGTGCTGTAGTAGCGAAAGGAGAAAGTTTTTTCTTTTCAATTATGCTCTTCTATCGGAAAAGGTTTAAGTTTAAAAGCGCCAATAAAATATATTGGTTTGACCAAGGGTACACGATATATATGGCAATTCATTCGCGCAATTTTGTGTGCTTTACGTTCGTTGTATAGATTCGCGACTTAGGCTATGCTCCGAAGATTGCTCCGTGAATTCAAATCTATGAATACCTACCTGTATGTTGCATGCAATCCGATCAATGATAGCGTACAGCTGACTTTGGTGCCTTTCGTAAGCGCGATCGATGTTCATCTGTTTGATAGTCACCGCAATAAACGTGTTGATATCGGCAAAGTCCATGTGCCTGCAGACGTAATCAACCCACACCTCAGCGCAAGACATGTAATCTGCGGAATTCTTGAAACGAGCGACGTGCTTCCAAACCTGATTCAAAACCTGAGTACGTTTGATAAAAAAAAAATCACTTATGAAACGAAACGGCCCTTTTCGAAACTTTTGAAAATATGAGGTAAAATTATGTTTACTTCGGGTCACATAAAAAGTTTACCAAATTGCTGCAGTGCAGACCAACACGTACCTTGATACGTACGCCCTCAGGTGGATCTTCTACCATAAGACAAAGACCAAGACTTCGGTAAAGTTGTGCTTTCGGTGCCGTCACTGTGTCCGCTTCATTGATCTTTTCAACGATCTGTTCCGCTCTCTGCGCAACGAATTGCGGTCTCATAGCCGTGAGGAGAGCGTTTAGTAGTAATGCTGAGTTTCGCTGCGTGCATTTGTTGAGCAGATCATTAAGTTGTTTATCGCGTGCTGTCTGTGTAACCCACTGAAGTAAGAACTCGAACGCTGGCGTAAACAGGGCATAGTATGAAGGCAAGTCGACTAGGTCCGACTTGAGTCGTTCCTCCACGATTGATGACTCCAGTTGGCTATAGGTTACCAGGAGACCGAACATCAGCTCGGATAAATGTTCCCTGCATTTTAGTTGAAAGAGTTAAAATACGTAATGGGTACTTATCAAAATATCTTGCATATGTTATGTTTCAGCAAGCGTTATAAGTAAACTAAGCATTTGCGGTTCCCTGAAATGGTCGCATGGCTTGTTCGAAGCAGTGCCAGATCTGAATTTTAATTAGTAATCTTAAGAGCACTGCTTTTCTTCAGCAAGAGTTCTGTTGCACCCATCCGTACGTAAATTCGATATGAAAAACATCGATGGAAAACAAGCGGGTCCGGGTTAAACTTTAGTTACCGACTAACCTGCCCTTTGGAGCAACTCTGGAGCCAATCCTTGCAAGGTAACAGCGTGCATATGCTGCTACCAATGGGTCTCCGATGCCCGTTATTGTCTTCGCAAGGCGTAGGAGACCCTTGTGCATTTGTGCTCCTTTGGGATCCAAAAAACGATACGACTGCAGAATACAAGCCTCCACGTAAAACCTGTGGACGGTGTATTAAGCGACATCATTAGCAAGCGACAGGAAAGAACAAAGCATCTGATAAAAATATATACCGTACTCCGTCTTATAATTGTTTTGTAAGAAAATCCAAGATTATCATAAAGTAAGGATATTTGCTTCGAAAAATATTGCATCGTATATGGATGAAACGTTCAAAAAAATGTATACCTGGGAATAAGTTCGCGTATTGATGCAACCTTATAAAACCAGTTGCGAGCTGTTTCAGCGGCTCCATCTTGGTTCTCTTGATATTTAGCATGCAATCGCTCGAAGACGAGCTCCCCGAACAGATCGACAATGTCTGTGATCAATACGAATTTTGCCGGATAGAAACGCACGGAACTGTCAGCATCTACTAACAGTTTGGAGCACTGAATCACCATTTTAAGCGCATTAACCTGTAATATCATAGCGATGCTCGTGATAAAAGCATGAATTAGCGGACAGAGTTCCTGATGTTAAATTTATCAAATATTAATCAAGTATATTTCCCCATTACGCCTTCTACCTGTGATACATATTCTGCCCTAGGTAACAAACCTCTCACGGTGGAAAAACGATAGAACGTCTCAACGGCAAGAAGTTCTACAACTTCTATATATATATACATATTTTCTCTAATATATCCCTTTACCTTTTCATCCCTATTCCAAGCGCTGACCATGGCAGACTTCAACTCGAGCAGTCTTCGGGTATACTCCTGAACCGACAGGTTTCTTAGCTCTTTAATAGATCCTTCTTCAAATGAATCTAGTTGTTCGTGCCGCGAACCCGACGACACCGGCGATGGCATTTCTCCAGAAAGATACGACGAAGCCAGTGACAGTCGCTCAACTCCAGAACCAAATCTTTACGGACGCAAATAGAAGAATCGATCATCATGTTATTGGCTGACAGTAAAAATGATGTAATATTAGATTAGTAATAATTAGTATGAAGACACGGACAGATGGCTTCATTTCCATAAATCACTTTGAGGATTTCAAGCTGGCTGATTCCGATAATGCGCGAATAGATATTTGCTGTGGCTAGCGGCTTCACCGAACATTTCTTGACCCAGATTTTCCGAGTTTGTATTCATAACAAACCAGGGCCTACAATATTGTATCTAGATTTATTTTTTAGAAATGTTATCTTTAATATAAGTAACTGACCACGAACCTGGACAGAATGCCGGCCTTTTTGCTGGGCCAAGTATCGATTGCAGGTATCTCTTCTTCAAAGATATTGCGCTTTTGGCCTGAGCCATCGCTGAATGGCTCATCGGAAAATGCTGAAAGTGGATCCCACATGGCTTCGCTCGTTCCGGTGGATGAGGCTGATAGGGGACCTGCTGGAAGTGGACCTTCCTCGCGCGGTTTCTCTTCGGAGTTTTGTGGCATCACCTTTAAAACAATTACAAGTAAGTTTAGACATTAAAAACTGTACATATGAGTGCAGAAAGTAGCATATCCTTCGAAGTTAGACAAGTCAACATTTAATATATATATATATTTTTTAATAGAGCAAGTCAACAAAGACTGACAAAACTAAAGAATTGAAATAAAATTTGTAAAAAGTAAGGAAAAAGTAATTTTCTTTTCGCTGGTGTCCCTGCTTCCTCGTAACATGATAAAAAGCAGCGACTTTTCGCAGAGATGCCCTATGCATAATAATAGAAGCACAAATCTGGTTATATTTATCAGACCTTGCTTTTCATAGGTGACACATGGCCAGCTAGGGGATGAGCCTGACCCACAGCGATCAAGGCAGGTCTGTAATCTGGCCTCTGCAGATCTTTGTATGGAGCAACTTTCCATGGAAAAATAATGTTAGATGACATCTGAAAAAGCAAATCAAGAAAGTTAAAGGTAATATTCCACTTCCATAACGACTGTCATATTTCCAAAGGTTTTGATGTATAGAAAGGTTTAAATCCCTCTAGCAAATCAAATAAAAATCCTTTAACGTGTGCATTGAATATGTTATCATTATGCGCCTTTCCAAGTTAGAGAGAATATCAACTGCTCAGTAAAACAAGCCTAAATTATACAGAATACTTAAAAATAATAATATAATGATAATGCCCCGGTTGGTATTTTGAATTTACAAACATTGCTCTACGAAACTTATCGAATATTACTAGTTGGAATACGATATGTTTAAGTGTATGGCATCGCACATAGCCACGCCCGTAACCGCAAAGATGCAAACGCAAAAAAAACTACAAAAATTACTAATCTACTGCATTATACATAAATCATCCCCATTTTCAACACCTTGAAGCACTTCAAGATAGCTTAGCGCGGTTCTCGTTACTGCTATGTATCAAACACTGGGTAACATTTTAGTCCGCAGCAATAATTTATTTGTGCAAACTTCATAGCAAAGGATTTCTGTACAACAATATGTAAGTAACATTACAGTGTAATTCTTAACAATGTACACCTCTACACAAAAAAAAAACAGATCATCGACTTGTTGATTGAAGAGATGTGTTAACATTCTGTCGAGTACGCGATGTATAAGAAATATCTACACAATACATAATCTATGATATCTAGTTAAACCAAATTTCGACAAAGGTGCAGAAAAGTAATAAGTTACGCTCAAAGTATATTTCTAAGAATGAAGGTGAGCTAGGTAACTTACGTTAGCTATTTTACGTCCTTTTACTTTTGTATAGATATGAGAGATCACTGTGTCTCTGACCGTTTTCCATAAAATAGCGGCATCAGGTTATTGCACAAGGCCACCAAAATGCTGATTGGAACACTAGCAGCTGATATCTGTTACTCCCTCCCACCACCACCACAGGCTGTTTTGATGTTGGCGAGGGCGAGTAGAGCGCCGATACGGTAAATCCAAGCGCCAAATTTGAATCGGTACTCCACCTAAGGTGAAGTCGCGGTGATAGCATAGGCTGTTAGTAAATGTGGAATATGGTAAATATAAGTTACGTTTCTAAAAGTTTCTGTAACCCAGAAGACGATCCGATCATTGTTGGTGACTACAAGCAATGTTACTAGGTAACGACGAATCATCGCTGATCTATTGAAAAAATAGTTCTGTTAATAAGATATGAACAAACGTAATTTATCAACTTTAATGACTAATGGATTCGGAAGGAAATGTTCAATGATTTGGTATTGATTAATAACAGATTTCGCGTTCAGAGCAGCTTATAGAGACTTTTCTAAAGCCCGTGATAAAGCCTTTAAAGATATACGAATCGTGTGACACCCATCATCTGAAACAAATGACTGCCACGTGAACCATTAGTCTGATGATAAAAGGACTTCAGCGAGTAAAACGGAGCCTGTGCTTACCTGTTGCCCCGTTAAAAGTTGCTTAAATCAATTAAAATAGTCATGGTTAATTTTTAGGCCTTAGGAGAAATTACCTGGAAGCTTTATTATAAAGGCCTAGAATTAATTCCCAACACGTTCGATTTTTGCAAATATAACATTAAAGCTATGTCGTTCAGAGCCGAAATGTGAGTGTTCCGGGCGTATTCCGTCCATAGCCAGCCGCGACTTAAACGTGATGATTGGTTTCTGTCAATGCAGATTGTCTATTTGTTCTGCGTCTACCAATCTTCTGAAGCTGAAATATTGCGTACCAATAATACGAATGTAACCAAAAAGGATGACGCTTATGTTTGGCGACGATGCCAAATGTCTATATTAGACGTCTTCTGTACGTCGATAGCTCTGTGCATCGTACCTGTGTTTCAGTGTATCTCATCATCCCGTTTTAGCTAATTGGAAGTTTGCCAGCAGCAAAGGCTTCGCTAAGGCAGTGAGGAAGCCGAGCATAGTACCATCAATAATCGAGATCGTCAGCGTAATATCCTCTAAAATTTGGAAGAACTTGAGTGTTCATTTACTGCGCACCGTTACTATTAAATAAAGAAGCATACATTTTTCTTTTGCTTTCGTCTTACAAAAAAACGTAATTAGTTTATTTATTTTTATTTACAGACCTCGTTGAGATTATCAGTGTTACACAACAGAATCCGACCGCCTCGTACGGATAATGATGAATAAGCATCTCTAAAGTTAATGTTGATTTATATATACTGTGTAGTCTTATGTGTATATTATAAATAAGAATTTGTTTGGCCTTTTATGCAATAAGAACCTCCGTTCTTCGAGAGGGGTAACCACCCCTGCGCTGATATGTCTGCTTCCCTACAAGTATGTAATATTTCATGCATGAAAATAATATATAGGCGACGAAAATTGGTATTTATTATGAAATGATGGCACACGACAAACGTATGAAAGGTGACAAATTAGCATATCGTAGCTTTTCGGCCTTGATTCGAGGTTACATGGTTTCTTGTGCCCATTTAAAATGTATCCGTATGAGATGAAATAAAGTCCAGTCTCAAAATGTTCTATCATGATCTTTCCAATTAATATAGATTGCACCGAACCGTATGATACCTCATGTAGCATATATCTAATTTCAAGCTCCTTTCTTGTAGTGTGAACAAAAAAAAAGGAATTAAACCTCATAAAATGAATAAAACAACAGGGGCAATTGACAGTTATTTCACCCTGATTTACCCCCTGATAATTCATTTACGGTTAAGACTCTACTACTATAGATTAGGTCGGACCCCGAGTCGGATCCAGGCTTCGTTATTTATTGCGACATTGTTATTGGCACCGTTATAACGTATACGGAATTAATAGTTCACAAATCATATATTCGAATCTAAAGCGGCGCTTTCTTGTGGGACAAATACAAGACGAATTTGAAAAACAGATTATTAACTGATCCAACAATGAACTCCACTCATACATCCTTAAAGACGATTTAAAGCCGAAAGTAAATTTGCAACAACAGAACTCAACTCAGGCTAATTGTAACCCCCGTTTTCACTGGGTTTACAATAGAGCCAGTAATGATTGTTGAAAAACTTTAATGCAATACACCGTCCCATAGTACCCACTGGATCTTTGAATGAGATTCACAAATCACTTAATATTCATTATATAACTTGAACTTATTGTTAATACATACGTATACGTTGATAGCTCCGTTAAGCGATGTCTGTGTAGCTTTTTTTGCGAGTAATTAACGTTGAATGTCATAGCAAACGTTATAAGAAAAAAAAAAAGCTAAATAATAGTAATATTGTATGTTCAAAAACATTCCAATATTTTAATTTACAACACGTTGATCTTAGTGAATTTTGCGCTAAGACATATATAACTTCCGAATTAATACGGATAGACCGCATTGATCGTACACGATTTTTCGACTTTTAGACAAACTCTATGATCTTTCTCTTTACTTCAATATCTGTGCGTGATTTACGGAACACTGTATATATACTTCGACTGATCTTTGACTGAACCAAGTAAAAGGAGCCTGCTGGGTAGCCACACTAATATACGCGAGTAATTAGATCAATAGTGTGGATAGAAGCTGAGGGTGTATACTCGGGCGAAATCGTTTCGGTCATATCCGATGAGCAGAAGATGAGACTATTTATCAGTATCTGCATAGGAGTGAAACGTCCTTGAATGATGAATTTTGTACAGCTATCGAGAACAGTCCCTCACGATATTTTCTCGTCTTTCTATTAGATAGTTACAGAATTTTTGCTAACTTTCCCCGTTTCCAGTACTAAACAACCATTGACGGCTATCAAAACCGAGCGATTGACATGGCCTATTGATAGCGTGGCGAAAGCTCTAAATTCGACAATTTCTTTACATCGAATCGACGTAGCGGTACTTCGAACACTGAGACCGGAGCTATCGTTATTGGAGAGTATTCTTGCAGTGCATGATGCCGTTCGGTATAAATCAGAGTACACGTAGACACTCAGGTCATGTAATAAATGTCTGTATGTGTATATGTGAGCAACTATGTAGCAAAATACGATCTGTATATCAGGTTGTGTCGTTCAAACGACGGCTAACAAAGTCGCCTCCGCTCTTTATTTTATATAACACTTTTCTAAGACAATTCTTTATTTATTCTCGTTTTGATCACAGGCGGAAGTGGAATATATAATAATTCAACCTACTAATAACAGTAATTTATAAATAATTGTTGAATTGATTCCCACTCCTAAAGTAAAGGAAATTTGAAATTGAATCAATAACAGCATTGGTAATCCTTTTCTTCGATTTTTTAAAAAAATTTTAGTCCATGTAGTTCTTCAGCAACGTGAAAACTTATGCATAACCATGTACGTAATGGTTGCTAAAAGAATTATGCTTTCTCAATCGTTCGGTGCTTTCAATAAGGGTTAGTCCTTGGAAGCAACCGGTAGTCGTTATTGGGGGCCAATATTTGGCAAGCAGTTTTTGGGCAGTTATTAGAGACTTTCGCGCAAAACCAGTGGACAAGATACATGAATGACAAAAAAAAAAAAAACGAAGAAAACGTGTTATGTTGCAGGACACAACATTCTAATAATGGCATATTCAAGAGATATAAAACGTCAAGGATAAAAACATAAATTAACTTAATAACGTAACTAATGTAAGCAATCAATATCTGTTTATGTATCATAATAACTTACTAATGTTAATTATCATAACAGTTTCTGTTATAATTATCATTACTCAACAAACGCACGCAAGAAATATACATTAACAGGGTGCTCTGAGGGCACTGTTGGCATAACATGAAAAATAAACCTTTGGTCACTCATTCAGCTTTGTCTCTCTCATTCCATTCGTGTTTAATTAATGGACCGTTTAGAAATGGCAGTGGGGTCCTGAAGGCTCGTTAACTGTAACGTAACTCTCTGTTTTCCTCAAAGGACCAACTTGATCCGTTTAACTGCTTAACCTTCCATTAATGAAGAGTGGGCATCGAAGTTCCAACACCATTGTTGTTCAAGATGAATTTTTCTCCGTTAAGTGATGAAAACGATTAGCATGAAGTAACGATACGTAGTTGGTGTCACTTTAAATTATATGCATAGCACGTAGCATAGAAGGTAATCTATTACAGTAAGTACTACGAAGTTACCCGCCGCCCCCTCCCCGCGCCCCTGACATATAAAAACAGTTAGGATTGTGAAAGCGAGTACTACATTGAAAAACTCGAAAAGATCCATTGCAATGCAACTAGCTGCAAAGCTACGTTCGCACGTTATTAGAACTGTATTTAGAAACATAGTGGTCGGTGGCGATAACAGTGCCCTTTGGGAATTAGCAATCGTTTTCAATACTATTTGACATAAAACCGCTCCTAGCGAGTTCAGTGTTGGAATTTTAATTTCACGTTCATATAGAAAATATATACGATAGCTAAGTAACATATCTAGGGAAAATATATTTACCATATTCTTGTGAGTTAGAGATTTTTTTAAAAAAATCAATTAAACTAACTGGTGATCGTTAAACTAAGTGGCGATAATGTGAGGCGTATCAAGCCCGGCAAACTTGCTTCAAGCAGGCCTTTCATTGAACAACAGATTTTTTGGGTCGCTTGTTTGGGATGGGCATTCTTGAATATATGTACATACTGAATGTGACTGACCACACAATAACACCTTAAACTTGAGTGTTTTGTGCACAATAGCTAGTAATTCATAAGGAAATTTATGCATGTAGAGACTGGCGCCGTGGAGAAGGCGAAATCAACAGGATTGTTTGAGCCCACATCGATATCTATTGACAGGGAGCTAGAAATGTTCAGAATTTGATATTAGGATTCTCAGATCCCCCGTGAATTTCCATTCAGATAGATGCTATTGTCATAGCAATGTTATGATGATAGGTATATGTGCATTTTCGATGCCAAAC